TTCACCACTCAGGGTACTTTGGAGTGGTGACTGTAGAAAGTAGTGATGCTAGTGGCATGGAACAGCTGTCTTCATTACCATTTGACGCTGTTTAAACCAGACCGTGAAATTTTGATGCATGTATTTTACAGGTAGGTAGACTGCTGAGCAAAGGAGGTGAGAGAGTATTCAACTTTTGCTCTACGAATTTAATAGTGTATTTCTGTATGCACCACTTACCTTGGTTTCCATTTTTGAGGACTTCCTTTAAACAGTGTACTCCAGTTAAGTATCTGTTATGTAGGAATGAGAAGCATTTAAACCATCTAGATTTGTTGCTTCCATCTCATTCAGCTCAGATATCTCTGATGCAAAAACAAGTATATCCAAATGATTTCAGGCATTTGGAGTGTTTATATAGAATTCTTCCATCTTTGACTTACTGAAACTATCACAGAAAATAAGGGGAAGGAAAGTGGAAATATGAAAAAGAAGACAGTGCTATTTAGCGGGTAGAAAATAACTCTTTCTTTAGAAGCTGGATTAGGTTAGACAGTGGCAAGCAATGAGTTAGATTCAAATACTGCCTCCTATTCTCCAAAACAGAAAGCTTTACAGTTGCTGTAATTCTGCTTTATATCCATCTTGAAAAATCCATTGTTAATATATTTGGACTTTGTTAGACTTTGGCTTTGCAAAACTGAGTAGGCATTGCACATCCATTATGCTCTCACTAAGAGGAGGATCTTTGTATTTCTCAAAGGTCTGCTATTGCATCCAAAGATGGAGATTATTCTTCTGTGTTCTTCTTTCTTGTCTCATAGTAGAAACAGTTGTAAAATTTGTTCTTCTTTATAATTCTTACTTGCTTTATCCTTCTAATTAAATTCAAGTTTCTGTGTGCTTAAATTCTAGGAAACAGAGACTGTCTGTGTGTTTCTAAATGAAATGTCACTCTACAAAGACAGGTCTAAATTATGCTTACTTTAAGCCAGTGTTATTCTTCTGCACTTGTGAGCATTGTGCTGTTGCTGTGAGTATGGGCAGTGGGAAGTACTGAGTTGTGCTGCAGAGATTTGTTATTTCTGCCTGGGAAAGGTGCCCATTTGTCACAGTGGCATTTTCAGGTTTTTTCACACCTCCTTTTCTCAGTTTTAAGCTTTGCCACATCATGCTTTTCACGGGCAGGTTTTTATCTGTGTTCTCTGCAGAAACTGACTTTTGCAGCTCAGGCACACTGTGCCTTGCATGAATGGGTACGCATCTGGAGTGAGCTTAAATCACTGAGCTGCAGCACAGGTAGTCAACTCATCTTCAGCAGCACCACACAAAGTAAAGGATGCTGCCTGTGCAAAAACATTGTGGAAACTATATAAGGAAACAGTTTTCCTATAACTAACTGGAACCTGGAGATTTTCTTGAGTAGAAGGGGCTGCTATCTCTACGAACATTTCCTGTACCCTCTGAAAACAGGGATAAATCCCTGTATTTTCACTCTGCCAGCTGCATTTGCTATCATTCTGCATCAGTAATTCTTGAAGGTTGAATGAACCTTACGCACGTTGCACACACAAACTGGAATTCAAATATCTGGTTACCCTGTCAGTATTAACTAGGATGTCTTTCCACTGCACATGCAGAACCAGGAGTCCACTGGAGTGTGCTGTGACACCATGTAAGCCAAGTGTATTATTTCCTATCAGTGCTAGCACTACAACAAGGAAAGAGGCAGCAACAGCAGCTGTGGGACTACAAGAAAGTAGGGATATTGACAGCTTGCTGGAAGGAATGAGTGTATTGCCAATTCTTTTGATATAACGTGGTTCAACCAAAAAAGTTCTGAGCCACCCTTCTGTCAGCAAATTATAGGACAAGACACAACATTTAAAATTGGTCTTCTGAGCTGTGTGTCCATTAGTTAAAACTTGTCACAGAAGCTATGAGACAAAGTTATTAAGCTCAAGTAAACCTATTATCACATTTGTGGAGTTGGTAGGTGCTATAAAGATATTGCTTCAGTCTCTCAGAACATCTAGGGAGCAAATAGAGGAATGGATTAATTATTCCTGTTAATAGACAGAATTTGTTACTTACATGAGATGGTTTTATCACTGCTGTGCAGTCTCTCATTTCCTCTCCCCATGTCCCCGATACTGTTCACAGGGTAGAATTCTCTTATCTCATTTTGAATGCCTATCCTAGGATGAAATGTACCCTACGAATGCTGAAGTAAGTAGCTCAGATATTGACATTTCAACTTACAGAGATAAAATTCATCTGTTGCTTTTTCTGGAGTATGGCAGGCCAAAGCAAAGTTCTGTTTGTGCTACCAAGAATAATACCCACACATCCTTTCCTTCTGTGTTTTGCAGGACCTGGGTTCTCCAACAATAGAAGAACAAGTTGATCAGCCTACAATAGATGATGAGACTGTGCTTATTGTTCCTTCTTCCCATGGTTTTATCCAGACATCAGATGATATCGACAGTGAATCAGTGTTGCCCCTGACAACTCTAACAGGTATGACAGTCCCTTTGTAGGATTCACTACATCAGAATAGCACTTTTGAGTTCCTTTAAACAGCGCTTCATAGATCCAGATCCTTACTTTCTCTAGAGTTGTTTTCCTTATCATTGCTATGAAACTTTAACCAATTTGATTAGCTCACTTATATCAGTGGAAGTGGAAGAAAGTCTCACTTTAACCTCATGGGAAAAGCAATAGAATTGCAGGTGCTTCCTGACTTGCTGAGCTGTTCCCATTGTCCTTGAGCCTTGAATTAGTACACATAGGCTAATGAGTAACTGTTTAGTGCACATTTCTTCATGCCTGCTGATAGAATGATATTGGTTTCCCATTTGAGAGAACACTGGAGACATCAGAAATGCAATTTGCCACTTGTTACTCTCATAGTGAGAGGCTGGGCTCTTTGGGATGTTTGCACAGTGCTCACCTGGAAGGGCTTGGTAGCTTACGCCACATTTTCCAGTGCCAGGAGTAATCTCATACTTGGAAACAGCATAGGAATATTCTCCCAGTGCTGCACCTAACAAATAATCCTTTCTGGAGGAAGGATCTCCTTGCATAGCCATCTGAGGATCAGCCTTAGGCCTGATGCATCAGTAGCTGGGGAGTCTAAATCTGGGTCACACTAGTTGCTTCTGTATTAGCCATGGCTTCACTTGGAACTAGAAATTGAGAACTAGTTTCATTTGAGTTAACATTGCCTAAAATTGTTCCAAAGCTCAGACTGCATTTTCTGTGTCGTAGGTATTTAACATTTTGTTATAATGGAACAATAAATAATGGATGAGTTCTAATTTACTGTGTCTCATGGCAGATCCTATCCTACAGCATCATGGAGATGGATCACACATTATTGGCTCATCACTGGGCAGTCCTGACTCAGAAGATTCGAAAGATGTTGAAGATCTAGTGAGCTGTCACTGAGAGAAGCAGTAATCATGTCCATTTTGTATTGACTGTGTTTGCATTGTGAAATTAGTTACAACCCTGTGCCACGTTTCCAAAGAAAGCAGTCAGTCTGTGTCTTTAAAAAGAAACTTACAGTTTGAAATAACGACAGTGCACTTTTTCTGCTCAGGCCATTTACCTCATTTGTGAAGGGTTACAGAGGAGCCAATAGAAGCCTGATGTACTACGACCCAGCCAGGGTGTTCCAGTGTTTCCCTGTTGGCAGTGCTCACTGCTAGGAGCCACGTGGTCAATTCTGATCTGACTTGTGCTGAACTGCACATCTCAAAAACTGGACAGAAGGCAGAGATTGTGGACCGTAGCCTCTTAGTGCCACAGCAAGAAATAGTTTGCACATGTTTCATGAAGAATGGGTGATGATTTCTGCACTTACTGACTCTTGCAATATGTGGAGCAAGACTGTTACATTTCAGGAAGAAATGTGTTCCATCAAAGACTTCAGGGAGCATGGGTAGCATCACAAAGAAATGGTCTGTATTCCCATCTCATCATTAGTATGTCTACAGCATAGGACTTAAGACAGGTGCTTATGGGATTTGTCGGGTCTGCTTGTTCCTGAGTAGTCCGTTGCTGGCAACGGAGAGAACTCAGAAAGATCATTTGTGGAAAATCTTTTTTGTTTTCCTTCCTTCATCACTACATTAAGCTGAATAAAAAGGGAAGGCCTATGAGAAAGGGAAGCTACGACTACCCACCAGCCTCTCCCTGAACTATTTTGAAGGTCATTGTGAGTATGCTGGAACGTTTGGTCTCGCTGTTTACATGACACTACCAGCCACCTCTAGAGGTGATTTACACAGCAAGGGAGTAGATGGGAGGTTGGTGTGGAGGTGGCAAAGTCTTGGAGAAATAGCTCTGTGAGAACTTGGGCACAGAGCCCTGAGGCAAAGGAAGCCAATTAATTCCTACGTTCAAGGATTGCAACAGACACTAGGCTGAGCAGCAGCCTGTTAGCTAGGGACTGAGAGTAAAAGCTATAGAAACTAAAGACTCATGTATAAATTATTTTATTTATTTCTGTAATTAGCTCTTCATAATCAAGAGTTGGTCTTTTTCAGTCTGTGGTTTTGTTAATGTGAAAAATAAGTTGTAGTTTCAAATGGTTGCCTAGGGAACAGAAGTAATTGTATATTCAGTTTAAACAAAATAAAGAGTATTTGTCTTATGTAACTGTAAGATGCCATTTATTTATACTGCTACAGATCCTTGCAATGCTGCAGTTTATTTGTACAGTAATAAAAAATGCATTTTTTTTTCCAAAAATGAAAAAGCTTGTGCCATTCAGAAACATCAGTACAACTGGAATGTTTATTAAGTGCAACAGTAGCTCTTCAAAAAAAAGCAGGATGTCACATCTTATGGCAATAATTCTCCCCAACAAGAGGGACATTACATATACATTTACATGAAAATCATGTACTGATTTGTCCTTGCACAATCCACTTCTTTCAGGCTAACTGTACTCATTTATGTGTCTCAGGTAGAGCTGAGAGCTGAGCTGAAAGCAGTCTGATACAACAGCGTCATCGCTGGGTATTCCCAATGCCTGTCATTTACCCACTTCATGGAAGTACAGGTTGGCACATATACATAACATGACGATAGAGAATAATACATAGTAAATTAGGTTCCTGAATTTAGGTTCCAGGTCTCCCTGTCGATACCAGTAGATCTAGAAGAAAGAATGAGTTTTTAGATTAGTTAAAATGTCAGATATTTCTTCCTACGAAACTTTCTGTAGAAACTGAAGTGGCATCTTCTAGAATTGGGTGGGTTTTGGTTTTTTGTTTGTTTTTTTCTTAAGCAACCTAGCTTTGTCCAACTAGAGAAAACTAAATATTGAGTCCAGCAAATTGTCTTAATAGTTAAGATACAGCATTTTTCTTTTCCTTGAATACTTGTGGAATATGCAAACAAGAATTTGGCAAGGTGGTTTCCTCCGAAATATGACTGTCAGTGAAACCAAGGTATCAGGTTGGCCATGAACTCTTGGAAGGAGTCCAGAAGGAGGGCCACTAAGATGATCAGAGGGTTGGAGCACCTCTCCTATGAGGAAAGGTTGGGGGAACTGGGTTTGTTTAGCTTGGAGAAGAGAAGGCTCCAGGGACACCTCATTGTGGCCTTCCAGTACTTGAAGGGAGTGTACAAACAGGAGGGGGAACGGCTGTTTACCAGTGTGGATAGTGATAGGACAAGGGGGAATGGTCTTACACTGAGACAGGAGGTTTAGGTTAGATATTAGGAGGAAGTTTTTCCACACAGAGGGTGGTGAAGCACTGGAACAGCCCAAGGATGCTGTGGATGCCCCATCCCTGCAGGCATTCAAGGCCAGGCTGGATGTGGCTCTGGGCAGCCTGGTCTGGTGGTTGGCGACCCTGCACATAGCAGGAGGTTTGAAACTAGATGACCTTTGAGGTCCTTTTCGACCCGGGCCATTCTATGATTCTATGAAGACATGGGTTGTCCTCTCACATTTCTTGAAGAGACTTTGTTTTCACAGAATCATAAAATTGTATGAGTTGGAAAGGACACTTAAAGGTCATCTAGCCCAACCCCCCTAGAATGAACAGGGAAACCTACAGCTAGATCAGGTGCTCAGAGCCCCATCCAGCCTGACCTTGGATATCTCCTTGGATGGATTCCCCACCACCTCTGTAGCTAACTGTTCTAGTGCTTCAGTGCCCTTCCTGTGAAAAACTTTTTCCTTATATCCAATCTTTTTCTCTATATCCAGCCTCTTCTCGCTTGAGGAGTGTTTGGTTGTTTTCCCTACAATAGTATTACAGAAAATCTTGTGAATTACATGGGGATTTATCTGCTGAATGACTCACAGGGAGGGTCCTCCCAAAGCTAGAAGCTGTTTTCAAGACCATAGAAATACAGACAGTCATCTGGGGCTAAGCAACACTGATTCGAGGAACAGCAGAATCCACATTGCTGCATTGTAAGATTGCTGACGTTGCAACGCCACAACTCACAAAAACAGCTGCCACCAAAGTTTCACAACAGTAATTACAGATCATGCCTGCACTCTTCCTCAAGCAGCTGCTAATTAGCAGGAGTACACTTGTTCTGCAAACAGAAAATAAAACTGGCAGTAAGCTGATTGTAAAAGGACAAATGGTCTTCAAGTCACTAAAAAATGAAGCCAACTGAAATGGTGTTTTTTGACTCACACTCACAGATCAAAATTTAAGGGGAAAGGTAACCTGTCCGTGCCTGTCCCCATTCTGCTCCTCTTCCCTTTGTGGGAGGAGGAATTGGGCAGTGTGAAAAGTTAACTAGAAACACATCTGGGTTGTGCAGTGTGACCTAAAGCTGACCTTGGAAGAGGTGCATTAGCAAGGCCTCCTGTGAGAGCAGTGAGATCTCACCAGTCTCTCAGGAGTGTAAGAAAGTAAAAGGCATCACGTAAACAAGTTTTTATTCATGTTCCACACAGTGACGCATGAAAGCATGCACAGCAGATGAGGTACTTACAAGTATGCCGGCAGAAATGCAACACAAGAAGATGCAGATAGCAAAAAATATATTCACAGGTTTTGGAGGTAGTTGTGGGAAGACAAAAGCACTGATCAAAGTGACCTGTAAGGAGGAAAACACAGATGAAAAAGTTGATCTCTCCAACCTTCATCTCTGTGAAGATGCAAGGTTCTCCACATTGGCTGAGCACCACAGCTGCCTGTCAAGTTTCTCATCAACGCTTGGAAACCCAGAGACCATCAGCCTCCCCAGGGTGAGACGTCAACTCCAAGGAAGCCAGCAGGCACAGGAGTGCACACAGACCAGGTGTGGAAGCCAACCTTCCCTACAGCCACCCTTATAGTTTCTCCCCAGCCCATCCCTGTCTCCTCCCATACACTACAGAACCAACACTCCATTTGTTGTGGTGGTTGGTCTGTCTTGAAAGTGTGGGGAAGACATAGCTTGAGACCTAGTGACTTCTTTAAAAAAACATGTATGTATCTATACATAGAGAGATGTAAAGAGAAAACAACCAATCTCCTGGATTAAGCCCTCTATACCTTGGCATGGCACGGACATAAGCTCCCATCCTTATCAGCTGGGGTTGCTTCAGTACAATCAGCCCTATAATGTCATGCTGGCAAAAGCTCAGAAAGCTGTGTAGCAACCAGGCCACAGGCATCTAAGGGACACTTTCACTCGAAAACTCAAGGATGGGTTTTCTGGGAGCATAATCAGCACTGGCTTCTGGTTTTCACCTGATCACCTACAGGAGACATGCAGAACGGGACATGGGGTACTTACTAGAAGCAGCAGGAACGTCAGGCTGCCAACAACTAAATTGATGATCCTGTCCTAAAGAGGAGAGAGGAGAATTACACACACGCCAAAATGCACATAAACCAGACATAGAGCACTGAATCAGTGAGCATTCCTGTTATCAAAAAAAAATGCGTTTTAGCCTCACTGCCTGAGAGTGACAGCACGATCGTAGAATTGTTTGAGTTGGAAGGGACCCTTAAAGGCCACCTAGTTCAACCCCCTGCACTGAACAGGGACATCCACAGCTAGATCAGGTTGCTCTGAGCTCCATCCAGCCTGACCTTGAGTGTCTCAGGTTGGAGAGGGGGAACAGAACCTGCATTCAGGCACCAGCAGCACAACACTCTGCCACATGGCACCAGTCCCTGTGGGTCAGGGTTTCCTGTGAGTGCTGAAATTTTCCAAGCAGGCCACTGGTGGAACAAGGTATTTCAGGTTACAGAGATTAGAGGCACTGATCCTGAAATCCCGGGCTTGGCAGAGCACTGACAGGCTGTGTTCCCCGCGGCCACTTCAGCTCCGGGCAGCTTAGCACAGCAAAAAGGTTAAAAATACACGAGCAGAGGCCGAGACGGCTAAAGGGGATTGGGGATGATGGAGCCTTTCACCTCCGGGCCATGTCCCAGAGCACAGACTGGGACAGTGATGGCTGGTTTCCAACTAGCAGCACCATGTGCTGCCCCGGGGAGACTTTCCTCCGGGATCTGCATCACTTTATTATTAGACTTGCACATCCAAGCCGTGAGCGTACGGGCTGCTCGGAGCTAAGCAGGAAGACTGCCTGTGCCAGCACAGCCTGAACGTGGGGACTCATTTATGATGGGGATGTCCCATCCCTGGAGGTGCTCAAGGTCAGGTTGGATGGGCCCTGGGCAGCCTGAGCTGGTGGGAGGCAAACAACCCATGGCAGGGGTTGGAGCTGGGTGGGTTTAAGGTCCCTTCCAACCCAAGCCGTTCTATGATTCCGTGACCCACAGGAATGATGGAAGAGCCATTGTCACATCTCACATCAACAGCTCCAGATGGCCAGCAGTACTCCCAGCATGACTCCAGCCTATCACAGCCATAGAGGACACCTTAGCCTACAGCCAGGTGACACTGCACGGAACTGCAGACACTATGACCCTATACACTACAGGAACCAAGCTCAGCTCCTCCAGCCACATGTCTGCCGTGCCTCCACCATCTCCTCATCACCACCCTGTGCTGCTCAGCCTCCTAACTGCCTTCTGCTCCCACCTGCACCACTCATTGCCCACTCAGCTATACTGAAACGTTCCCACCACAAAGCAACATGAGCAGCTTCCTCTTTTAACTTCATCCTCTAGAAATCCCACACCTGCTTTGCCTATTGTCACATAGCCTCTCCTGCCTTCGTTTTGCACTGTGTGCTACCCAGCGCTGCAGCCATAGTAACAGCAGCAGAATCTCCATCTCCCCATACTGATAACTTCCATATGGCTGCACCTCGGCGCTGCCCCTGACATCCCGAAGCCATTTCTGCAGACCTCCATGGTCCCTGATGCTCCGCCAGCTCAGCTCTGAGCCCACCAAAGCACAGCAGCACCACACTTATAGAACATCTCAGGTTGGAAAGTGTCCCACAAGGATCATTAAGCCCAACTCCCAGCTCCTCAGGGCCTCCCAAAATCCAAACCCTATGTCTGAGAGTGTTGGCCAAACTTGAACTTTGAGCTCAGGCTGCCCTGGCCTTTTTCCATGCTCACCGCCCTCTGGTGCAGACCCTAACACCCCCTGCCCCTCCCTTGGCAGCTCCATGCCATTCCCACAGGTCCCACCACTATCACCATCCCATGGCCAAGGCCACCTCCCTGCCCCATCCCATTCCCCATCCCTACAGCACATCAAGGCACCCACCACCCACCCAGAAATCCCCACCAGCCCCATTTGTGCCCTGGTGCTCCTCCAAACCCGCTCCCATCTTGAGGCACAGTCAGCTCTCACTCGGACCCCTCCGGCATTTGTTCCTAAGCAACCCTGGGAATTCCCAAGGCACCATTCAGCACCAGCACAGAGATCCTTTGTCCGGCGCTGCCACGGATACGTGGACCTCTGCCTGTCCCATGCTGCATGTTTCCAAAAACCAAACACAGCAGATGGGGATCCACAACGCAGCACACGAACTCAAATTAACGCCCGGTGGTTTTTATTGACTGCTCCCCACTGCACGCGGAGCAGCAACAGGAGAGAGATGAGAAGTCTGGGACCAAAGGCCTGCCCAGGGATGGAGAGTTCTGTCCCATCCCTGGAGATGCTCAAGGCCAGGCTGGATGGGGCAGCCAGCCCACGGCAGGGCTTGGAGCCGGGTGGGCTCTGAGTTCCCTTCCAGCCCCAGCTATTCTTTGGCTCTATGATTCTATGATGAATTTGGGGTTTGCCTATCTGGAAGGAGCCCTGCCCAGCCAGTCCTACTGCACAGCGTCCCAGTGCTGCCAGGCTGTGCCCACTATTAACATCACACAGAATCATAGAATCCTTAGAGTCGGAAGGGACCTCTGAAGGCCAAACAGTCCAACTGCCCTGCAGTGACAGTGGAAGTTCGGGCTGTGGGGGGATCCTGGAGTCTCCTCTTTATGTGGGAGCAGCCCTGCTTTGGGGGTCCATCCTCACATCAGTTTCTGGGTCGGGGTTTTGCTGCGTGAGCAGCGCATGTTTGTCGGCAGGGACTCCTTAGGAGAGCGCATACATTGGTTTTGCCATTCCGCACATTCAAAGGGTGTTGTTTTTCTCACAATCCGGCAGCGTCTTTCTGTTTTTCTTCCTTTTGCGGGCAGCTTCGCAGTCATTTCTTTGCTTTCTGTTGCTGTCCCGGGGGTGCCGGGGCGAAGATACTCCTCCTTATTTGGGGCTGTTTGTCTCTACGGGACATCATTACCGGGGTACTCCTCCAGCAAAGCCCATCCGCGTCCCCCCCTTTCCCCCTCCTCCGGCCGCAGCCCTTACCCTGGTCGAGGTCTCCCCGAACAGCGGGCGGTTGTCCGGCCCTCCCGTGCCGTAACTCCGGGCGGCGAAACCCTCCATAGCGGGGGGGCGCTGGGGCAGCCCGGGGGGGGCGCGCCCTCATGCTGCGCTCCGTGAGCCGCACCGCTCCGCGCCCGCACCGCTCCGCTCCGCTTCGCCGCCCGCGGCGCCGCCCCCGCTGCCGGTCCGGCCCCGCTCTGCTCACACACACAGACGCACAGACAGACAGACAGACACACAGACGCACACACACACACACGGCTGCGGCCGCACGCAGGTGCTGAACGGCCCGACCGCGGGGCCCAGAGGGTGAGGGGAGGAAGCGGGGGGGGGAGGGGAAGGAGCGATCGCCGTTCTGTTATGTTGGGTTTGTTTTTTTTTAATTACTTCATTTATTTTATTCTTTAATTACTTCATTTATTTTGTTCTGTTCCATTCCGTTCCATTCCACTCCATTCTATTTTGTTCCTATTCTATTCTACTTTTTTTTTTTTTTTTTTTTTTTTTTTTTTTTTTTTTTTTTTTTTTTTTTTTTTTTTTTTTTTTTTTTTTTTCCATTTCTGTTCTGTGCTATTCTGTTCTCAGAATTACAGAATCACAGAATGGCCTGGGTTAGAAGGGACCTCAAGGATCATGAATCTCCAATCCTCCGCCACATGCAGGGCCACCAACCATCCCACCTAATACCAGACCAGGCTGCCCAGGGCCCCATCCAACCTGGCCTTGAACACCTCCAGGGACGGGGCATCCACAACCTCTCTGGGCAGCCTGTTCCAGCACCTCACCACTCTCTCTGTAAAGAACTTCCCCCTGACATCCAACCTAAATCTCCCCTCCCTCAACTTAAAACCATTTCCCCTTGTCCTGCCATTATCTACCTTTCAGAGAGTTGATTCCCCTCCTGTCTGTAGGCTCCCTTTAGGTACTGAAAGGCTGCAATGAGGTCACCCCGCAGCCTTCTTTTCTCCGGGCTGAACAAGCCCAGCTCCCCCAGCCTGTCTTTATAGGGGAGGTGCTCCAGTCCCCCGGACATCTTCCTATTCTATTCTATTCTATTCTATTCTGTTCTGTTCTGTTCTGTTCTGTTCTGTTCTATTCTACTCTACTCTACTCTACTCTACTCTACTCTATTCTACTCTATTCTACTCTATTCTATAATTCTATTCCTCCATCCCACTGCATCTCATCCCATCCCACCCTATACCATCAATCTCATCCCACTCCACTCCACCCCACCCCACCCCACCCCACCCCACTCCATCCCACCCCATCCCACCCCATCCCATCCCATCCCATTCCATTCCATTCCATTCCATCCAATCTCATCCTTTATCATCTGGTAGCACAGGCCTGATGAGGAGCGGCTGAAGGAGCTGGGATTGTTCAGTCTGGAGAAAGGAGGCTCAGGGGAGACCTTATTGCTCTCTATAACCACCTGAAGGGAGGTTGTGGTGAGCTGGGGGCTGGCCTCTTATGTAACTGGTGATAGGACTAGAGGGAATGGCTTCAAGCTGCGCCTGGGGAGATTTAGGCTGGATATTAGGAAATACTACTTCTCTGAAAGGGTGGTCAGGCACTGGAATGGGCTGCCCAGGGAGGTGGTGGAGTCACCGACCCTGGAGGTGTTCAAGGAACGTTTGGATGTTGTGTTGAGGGACATGGTTTAGTGAGCACTACTGGTGATAGGTGGATGATTGGACTGGATGATCTTGTAGGTCTTTTCCAACCTTGGTGATTCTATGATTCTGTGATCTCGTCTCATTCCATCCCATCCTGTCCCATCTCATCCCATCATTTTCTTTTCTGAAAGTTTTCAGCTTATGTTGTAGAAGGAACCTGCCCAGCTTGGCAGCACAATGCAGCTGAATGTCACCATACTGACCCTATACTATTCCATCCCATCCCATCCCATCCCATGCCATGCCATGCCATCCCATCCCATCCCATCCCAACTCATCATTTTCCTTTCTGAAAGTTTTCCGCTCATGCTGCCAAAGGAAACTGCCCAGATTAGCACCACAATGCAGGTGAATGTCACTGCACTGATCCTGTGTTATTTAAGCAGATCTAATTACTGAAGCTGATATTGTGATTTCAACAGATTAAAACTATTGTTTTTTTTTAAAAAACATCTGATGAGCTCAAAAATGATGAGCTTTGGGGTCTTCCTTTTCCCTGTGCTGAGTACATGAAGTAGCTACAAGGGAGTGGTTATTGCTAGAGCAGACATTTGTGGCAGTGGAACATTGTGCTCTATGCATCCCTCGTGTTTGCCAGGTGAACTCCAGCACAGACCTTCCCAGCCTCTACTTACCATATAATTTGCAGCAGCTTCTTCACCTCTGACAGTGGGTTTGGGTGCATGAAATCCTGATTGTTTTTCTTACTGTTTGTAACTCCCTCAGTTTGTCTCACAAAATATGTTTCCTCATGACTACCCCAGATAATCACGGCAGCATTTCTCCAAGTGCATTTTAGGATGAAAATAAAACAGAGAAATAAACAAAATCCCCCACCAACGATGTGTTTCATTTGCTTGAGGCTCCAGTTTGGATGAACCCAACCATCCCAAGTCCCTTTTGAGCCAGAGGTCACCACTCATGGGAGCTCCCAACTCCTGAGCCAGGGAACCGGGCACTTTTATTGCAAAATATCTCAGCTATGGGAGCTGGAGGGGATGCTGGGCCCTCAGCTTTGGGGCGCACGCTGTGTACACAGGGCCCAAGTGCTCTTCATCTCCACTTGGCCTCTCCCCTCTCGCGGTCACCGCGTTTGAAGACCAAAGCACTCCAGCTTCAGAGATGAAAGAGAAGTTCAATCAAATGATGGAGGGTTTTCTGAGCCTGCCTTTGTCCTGAGCTGAAGCGCTGGATGGAAGTCAGAAAATCTCCTCCAGCCCTCAGGCGTTTGCTCCCACGCTCACTGGTTGGTGAAGAAGGGTCTTGTGGAGGGCTCTTCACGTCATCTTGATCTGCTCAGAAAATAAATCCCATAGGTTGAGCAAGTGCTCTCGACATATGGAAATGTTACAGTTAGTTTTGCATTGGTATTTCAGCTCTTGTTTCTATACCTGAGCTCTGCCCGGATCAGTTCCAAGGGTTGGGCAGGTCTGGCTGGAGCCAGGGATGCACCTCATTGCTGGAGGACAGGAGTTGTGGCTGCCCCAGTGTTGTGTGCTGCATTTGGTCGTGGAGTTATGGCTAAAAATGGGCACAACTTTCTCTGCCAATTAAATACTAATAATTTAGAACAAATATGAAATCCAGCCACAAACTGATGAAAGCACCAACCCTCACTGAACATGCATAGCATCTGTAATGCTGATGGAGGAGCTGAAGACACCAACCATTGCACTTCAGCTCACTCTACAGTGGTTGGGTTTCATTAGACCAATACAACCATTTAGAATCATGGAATGCTTTGAGTTGGAAGAGGCCCTTTAGAGGTCATCTGGTCCAACTCCCCTGCAATGAACAGGCACATCTACAGCTCCATTGGGTGCACAGAGCTTCATCCAGCCTGACCTTGTGTATCTCCAGGGATGGGGCACCCATCACATCTCTGGGCAACTTGTTTCAGTGCTTCACTGCCCTTATTGTAAAAAAAACTTTTTTCTTATATCTTATATCTAATTCTGCCCTCTTTTAGTTTGAAACCATTTCCCCTTATCCTGTCCCAACCAACTCTGATAAAGAGTCTGTCCCCTTCTTCCCCATAGCCCCCCTGTAGATACCTGCTGTTTCAATATTGGTTTCACTTGTACAGCTCAGTTCAAGGCTCCCTATGGCTGTGATTCTATGATAAATTATGTCTCTTTCACTGGATGGCAACACTTGTTTGGCAAACGCAGTGTCTCACAGAGCTGTGTCTTCTTTCCCAACTGGACATGTTTGGATCATTATGCAAGCAATGTCCTGTGGGTCTGATTTTGCAGGAGGTGATACCCCCCAGCAGCACGTATCTCAGTGGGACCTCTGGGATGTTGCACGTGGCCCCATCCACGAGTTGCACACACAGCTGAATCCTTCAGAGGCCAGAGATGAATAATTCTTTGTAGCAGGAGTCCGCAGGGGAGAACACTGGTTGGTAGCAGGATGTATGACCAGGCAGGGGCTGTCTCACATGAGAAGACTGGAAAGTTCAGCTTGGCTGCTGAGTGGCCAAGAAGAGATTCTGTGGGTTTATTCTACAATGAGAAGGAGTAAATGCTAGGGAACAAGCTAAATATTTAAGCTAATGGGTTTTGCTGGCATGGAAGCAAATGGCTGTGAATGATGTTCAGACTGGGAGATTTCAGCCTGTCAAAGGAGGGAAGCTCAGGACAGCCCTTCAGATGGAGCTGTGGGAACAGAAAACAAAACTGCTTAAAGGATGAAGTTTGGTTGGCTCATGAGAAATAAAATAAGGTGAGAAAAGGGAATCAGCACTGGAAATCAGATGTCCTTTTCAGCAATGTCTGCTTTCCACAGATCCAAGCTCAGCAAAAAGATGATTTGGCAGCAGATACTGTTGCACATAAATGCATTTGGTGTGGCCTCACACCCACAGCCAGAGCTCCAGCATCACAAATCCCACTGGCATCATGAATGTGAGCGCAGGCTCAGCCTGTGCTATGGGTTTAGTTTTCACTCTGCCCTTACCTTCTGAGCTCATCTTTCAACATCTGTCAAACATGAAGTCTCCCCTGAAAAGTGGGATCATGCCTCCAGCACTGGCATATGGGGTTAAACTCCTTAACATTTAATCCAGCCTAACATTTATGTTAGCAGTCAAAATACATCTCATCCACAGAACAAATGCTAGAAATACCCTTAGTGTGTATCTCATCTCATACCTTACGTGGGAGGGTGATGAACATGGGCGTTTCCACCAATGCTCACTGATGCAACATCATGCAACAGAGCTGTGGTTTAGGATTTTTTTTGGTCACATTTCTAAGCTCAGGGGATCCCCTGTGCCCTCTTGACTATGT